TCCAAATAGCTGTTTTGGTTCCTCCATGGTTATTAAGAAGGGACAAAGAAAATGTACTCTGATGACACGACTATAAAACTGGAAACAACAGATGAGACAAGGCTGAGATATTCAGCAACTTTTTTCATTGTCAATCTCTCTTCCCACAGCTCTTGAGTGGATGGACAGCAAGGTGGGGACTGGGTGAGAGAAGTGCTTCCTTTCTTGAGAGATCAGGATCCTGATCATCTGAGGAACTAGAACATATATGTCTACGGGATTCACTGAGATATATCCCAGAAAGTCCTGAGAGAATTGGCTAATGCAGTTGCTGAATCACTCTCCACAATATTTGCAAAGCCATGGCAGTCAGGAGAAATCCCCAGTGACTGGAAATAGAGAATGAATAGAGTAACTACTTCAGTGAACAAGGGAAGGACTATGAATATAATTTATCTCCTGTAAAACCTTTGACATAGCCTTACAGCATCCTGCTCTTTACATTGGAGAGAGATGGATTTGATGAGTGGACTTTTAGATGTATAAGGAATTAGTTGAACTGTCATATCCAGAGTCCCACTGGACATCAGTGACAAGAGATGTCCCTCAGGGGCTGGTATTGGGATCAGTGTTATTTAATAACTCATTAATGACATAGATGAGGGCATTGCATGCACCCTCCACAAAATTGCAGATGACACCAAGGTAAGGGGTGTGGTTGACACTCCTGAGGGACATGATGTCATGCAGAGGGATGTGGGTGAAATGGAGAAGTGGGCCCATGGAATTCCATGATGTTCAACAATTCTCTCAGTGTTTGTAGGAAAGACGTTCCATACCTCTAATCATCTCGGTGTCCCTACTCTTTACTCACTCCAACAGGTCCATGTCCTTCCTGTGCTGGGACTCCGGAGCCAGATGCAGGGTTCCAGGTGGGCTCTCACCACAGCAGAGCAGAGGGGCAGAATCCCTTCCCTCCCCTGCTGCCCATGCTGCTTTGGATGCAGCCCAGGACACATTTGGCTTTCTGGGCAGTGAGTGCCCATGGCCAGGTCATGTCCAGCCTCCCACCCACCAGCACCCCCAGTCCTGCTCACAGGGCTGCTCTCCATCTGTTCACAGCTTGTGTTGATATTGGGGGTTGCCCCAACCCAGGCGCATCACCTTGGACTTAGTCCTGTTAAACCTCATGAGATTCCCATGGGCTCACTTCTCAAACTTGTCCAAGTCACTCCAGATGGCATCCTGACCTTATTGGTGTCAACAGCACCACACAAACCACTCAAATCAGGTTGGCTGCAAACCTGCCAATGGTTTTCCATCACTGAGGAAGACATTGAACAGTACTTGTCCCAAGGCAGATCCCTAAGGGACACCATCTATTACTAATCTTCATATGAAGATTGAGCTGTTGACTACCCTCTGGGTATGACTGGGTATTGATTCAACCAATTCCTTAGCCATTGAACAGCCCACCCATCAAATCCTTCTCTAGACAATTTAGAGAGCTACTGGGTAGCTTTTAATAGGAAATGTCAGTCCAGGGAGGCTAAGAGGTCAGTAGTTCTCACAGTTCTCTTTCCTACCTTTTTTAAAGGTGGGTCCAATATTTCTGCTCTTCTAGTCACCTGGGACTTCACCTGACTGCCAGGACATTTCAAGTGCCATTGAAATTGGCTTGGCAACTATGTAATCTAATTCCCCTGGTACTCAGGGAAGCATCTGTCATAGTTTAACTACAGTCAGCAGCCAAGCCCCAGCAGCCTCTCATTCACACCCCTACCACTGGAAATGGAGAGAGAATCAGAAGAGTAGAAGGTAGAAAAGTCATAGGTTGAGGTGTATACAGTTTAGTAGGGACTCTAAAGTCTATTAATGCAAACAAATCAAAACAAGGAATTCATTCACTGCTTCCCATAGGCACGTAGGTGTTCAGCCATCTCCAGGAGAGAAGGGTCCCATCAGAACTGTCAGTGACCTGGGAAGACAAACATCATCGCTCAAAATGTCCCACCTTTCCTCCTTCTTTGCCCCACGTTATGTACTGACCATGATGCCACATTGTCTGGAAATCCCTTTGGTCAGTTGGGGTCACCTGTCCCAGCTGTCTCAACCTCCCATGCACCCCAAACCTCCTCCAGCATGGCAGTACAAACAGCAGAAAAGGCCTTGGTTGTATGTAAGCCTTGCTGAGCAATAACAAAAACATCTCTGTGTTATCAACCCTGTGTTCAGCACAAATACAAAATACAGCTCCATACAAGCATGTGAAGAAAATTAACTCTACCCCAGACAAAAGCAGCACAGCATCTCATCAGATCCCATAGACACATATATTCAGGTTCTTCAGGTGATCACAACCCTCATCTATTACAGTAGAGAGCACTTTTTTCCTTCAGTCCCCATCCTGCTGCCCATCCACTCAAGAGGGGCAAAGAGAGTTTGCAATTGAAAACTGAGGTAAACACATGGTTGAGTACCTAATTTTTGTGTACAGCACCAGAATAGAAACATACTTCACCTCAAAGGAGTAATTTTTCCTCTCTATTAATGAACAGGATAGAAAATACAACCATTTGCATTGTTGCTCAGTTGTGTTAAGTGGCACTTGCTGATCTCTTGATTTCTAGCTTAGGAAGACAATTTTAACAAATGTGGAATGCTTTCCTGGAACTTGGTGATTGTTTTCCCTTTCTATCCCCTCCTGCTGGAAGCATACAATCTTGTCTTGAAATCACTCACAAAGGAACAAATTGAAGACATTTAGTTCCACCTTTGTCCTGACATTTTCTGTGTTTTTTGGTCCACTAACAGCTTTCTGTTCCAAAGTAGATGTTCCCTCTTCCATCTCAGTAAGCCTGTCGCTTAAATTTGAAGGGCCATTTTTAATCCTGTTAGATATTCTGACATGTACTTCAGCTCTTACAGCAATTTTCCCCTCCATAAATGCCACTAATATTTACATTTCTGTGTCCTTTTTCTGTCTCTGAAGGACTGATGATGAGTACAGCTTCAGGTAATTGCTTTTCCCAGGCATCATAATTTGTTTTTCAACAAAATAACAATTTCCAATTTTTTAAAAAACTATTCAAATTCACTAGGGGAGCTGAAGGAAGGTCAGGGAGCAGGAACAGTGACTTTCATTGGCATTAGTTACCAACATACTCATAACTTCATAACTTACACTTTACAACATTTTAGTTATGTGGGACAGGCTTTCTGAAGGTTAATCACTTTCTTTCATCCAGAATCTAGCTGATGGATTAAAAAAAAAGGCATTATTCATTCCAATGTGAGGACATAAAAGCTGTGTCTGAATAACAGCAGCTGGAAAGAAACAGCAATTTTTTGCTCTGGAAAATAGGAGCTGAGAACACTACTGTCATTTCTCATACCACTAAATCCTGAACAGTGGCAAAAGTAGAAGTTTACTTGTGCTGGCTGGAAGGTTTTGATTTTTAGATCTTTCAATCAATAAAGGTATTTCTAACAGAGTCCAAAACAATCCTGCTTCAGCCCACTCTGCAACAGGTGAGAGGTTCAATGTGAATTTTACTGGACAATGTTCTGGAGGACAAGTTGAAATAATTATTGTGTTCCATTACAAATTTTTAATCTCACACCCAGGGCATTGCCACTGACTTAAAAACTCTCCCCACTGTGTGCTTCTACTCCCATTTACTCATCCTTCAAATGAAACAGCAAATACTGTAACTTGACACCCCATTTACAAAGTGTCCTATAAGGCAGGAGCTGTTCCCACTTACAAAATTATTTTCTTGGACTTGCTTTTTGCAAGGCAAATTGGAAATCCACAACAGAGGTGCTCTGTTGATGTTATACTGTAGGAAGGGTAAATAAAAAAAACTTAATGCTTTTCATGACCTGAGAAACATCTGAGTGTTTTCTAAACTGACTTCTCTGAGCTTTCCAAGTGTGTAGTATGAGAAAAATGAATCATGTTAATGGGAAAACTTAAAGAAACTTTTGTTTCAAAATTTTAGTTCAGAGTATCCTTTTCTGTTACCTTAACTTTCTTGTAAGCTTTCTGGTATCACTCATTTTTGCCTCCCAGTATCTGCCCCAGGTGAAAGCATTTAGTCTTTTGTATCACTGGCAACTTGCCTGAAGATGCTGCTGCCTTTCCACACTCCCACCTGTTTGAGACCTTTTTCTATGCTCATTCAGCTCGTGGTGCTTACTCCAAATTACCATCACCGAAATGCATCAAATCACAGGGACAGAACGTCACCATCACAGTCGGCAGGCCATGGATACCAAGGGAACCCCAACATCTGTTTTTTCTCGGGGAAGGAATAACATCAGGAGAGGCTTCATCCCTAAGGGCCACCTTCAGGATGACATCCAGCTGCTGCAGAGCATCTCCTGAAGCCTTGCTCTCCACAGGTGCCTAACTCAGAAGACTCGGTCAGGACTGCTGTCTGCCCAGGAGACAATTTACTTCACACGTCCCGTCCGCACCGAAGGAAAGGCTTTGGGTGCGGGGGCCCGTACGGAGGATGCACATGCCGGCTTCCCGAGGAAGGACGCCCGTCGGGGGTGCTCTCCCCTTCGCCCAAGAGGGAAAGGCTGCCCGGGGTGGCGGCAGCAGCCGGCCAAGCAGCGGTGGCCATCAGGAAGGGGCAGCCCCGCCGGGCCCCCGCGCCGGCCCCGCAGCATCCCGCGCCGGGCGGCTCGCGTACTCACGGCTCTGCGGGGCTCCGGCGGCTCCGGGGGAGGACGAGGAGGAGGAGGCGGAGGCCGGGCAGGTGAACCCTCGCGGCAGCTGTCTCCCCGGCCGCTGCTGCTGGAAGCCGCCCGATCTCTCTAGCCACGGCCCTCGGCAGGGCTGGAGCCCCCCGCGCCCGCCGCCAGCGTGGGAGGGCGCGGCGGGGCTGCAGGCGGGGGAGCCGCTCCGGCCGGCTCCGGGGAGCGACGGAGGGAGGGAGCGAGGGAGGGGGCAGGAGGCAGGACAGCTCCCGGCCCCGGCCCGCCCTCCGTCTGCGGGGGGAAGCCGAGCGGCGCCCGCTGTCGGGGTGCTCCGCGCCTCGCTGCCTGGGAAACTTGGGAGGCTCGCCGGGGAGCGCCCGTCCCCTGCCCCGAGGGCCGCTCCGGCCGAGGGAAGCGTCCCCGTGCGCACCAGCTGGATGGCGCGGACCCTGAGACCCGACGACATCAACCCCCGCACGGGGCTTGTGGTGGCTCTGGTCAGCGTCTTTCTGGTGTTCGGCTTCATGTTCACCGTGTCTGGCATCAAGGGAGAGACCCTGGGAGACATCCCGCTGCTGGCTATCGGGCCGGCCATCTGCCTGCCGGGCATTGCCGCCATCGCCCTCACCAGAAAGACTGACGGCTGCACCAAATGTCCCGAGAACATGCGCCCGTGCTGCAAGGAAGTCAAGGATCGGGACGGCATGGAGCTGCTAAGGACCCCCTCGGACCTGGAGTCTGGCAAGGGGAGTTGTGACGAGCTGGCCAGGAAAGCTTACCGCAAGGACAGGAGAGGGCTGAGGGGAGAGGACACCGTGTTCATTTGCACCACCAGCACCACCGCCGCTGCCCCGGCAGAGTGCAAGAGCCTCACCAAAAAGGTGGAGCAGGAGGAGATGCTGAAATACCTGGAGAGCTGTTACCCAGAGATGCCAGAGAATGTGTTCGTGGGAGATGTCTCCACATACAGTGCCTTGGAGAAGAAGAGCTCTTCTCCCAGCAGGGACAGCACTCCTTGCCCTGACATTGAAGACAACATTTTTGTGGCTCCTAAAGATAGTATCATTGTCTGCTCTTACAAGGATAACAGCCCTTATGACAGGTACTGTTGTTACATAAACCCCACCGGAGTCAATTCAGACCAGGAGACCATTGTGTGAAAGATGCATACCTTATATATATGTATGTATACAAAACTGCAACTTCAACTTCTTGATAGGGGATAATATAGCTGCCTGCATGGGACAATCCTGATACTATTTCAATTTAAAGTGGTATGTGACTGATACTCAAACCTTTTGTGCCTGAAGTACGCTTTCTGTAAGTAAACAAGCATGTTTAAAGGTTAAAGAATTCAGTTTTTCATTTTTGGAAAAAAAGAAATTTTATTTTATTTTCTCCCTTTTCCTCCCTTTTGTTTTCCTGCTGCCTGTTGTACCCAAGCCTGTAGGCGCTCTGGCAGAAGGGCAGCAGTGCCTGTCAGCTGGGATCAAGAGCTGAATGAAACTCTGGAGCTGTCTGTAGCAAAGAATTTGGTGCTCTATGGCTGAATAAGTTTTTGAAATACTGTCACTTTATTTTGGGAGGGATTGAGATATGTCAGCATGAGCTCCAATAGCTGCCTGATGTCAGGGAGTGTAGAAATCGTTTGTCTCCCTTCGTCCTGGATGGATTTTATTTTCCTTTGTGTCAAGGAATAGATGTCCTGACCCCATGGGCTCTTCTGAAAGTCTTCTAGGAACCATAAAGGCTCAGGAGAGTTTTCAAAGACTAACCTATCATCAACAGCATGAACATAGATTTATTAGCTTAATTTTCTACTGGTCTAGAGTTCACTGGAATGTTTCTAACACTTTTGGATTTTAGAGACATACTTGACAAGGAGAATGCAACATGAACATGACACAGTTCTTGCAGACTAGGAGCAGATGTCAGTGAACTCAGGTCTTTAAAATATATTTCAGTACCTCAAAAATCGCTTCAGGAATAGACTTCTGTGAGTTATGTTCTGAGTGAGATCTGACTCTTCTGAAAATGCCATTTTTTTGTGCCTTTTCTAAAATGCCAGATATTTCTGTATCGGGGATGCATGGTGACAGTCCACTCAGGGGTCTCAAAGCCATGCTTTGCTGGGAGAAGTGAACAGAGGACCTGACTGAAAGATGGTTTTTTCACACCTTATGAATACATAGCAAGAAAATGTGAAATGAGTAACTTCATTGAAATTAAGAGCCTACAGTCTACATACTGAAATACAAATCATGGCTGTTCTATCCAACAGCATGTTCCATGCTGTGCATAAACATCTTACCTGACCTCTACAATGTAGGGAACAGAGATGTGGTGTAACACAATGTGCATGCTAAGCAGCTACTCTAAGTGTTCAGGTCTTAGGGTAACAGTTGCTAAACCATAGAATAATTTGCTAGCATCTCACAAAGCCCCAGTTCCTATATGCAAACTCCCAGAATGCCAGAAAGTTCCTGTGTGATTAAAGTCTTAATAGCTGCTCCTACTTAGATGGTTTTTGTCAACCCTAAGTTGTACCACAAAAATGTATTGAGTTACCAGAGTAGGAAATAAGAAAAACAGCCTGTTTTGTAGCAACCTGAGATGTCGTGTAGAAAATGAAAAGGAATTTTGCACTCAAATAAGGCTTACCCTGTCCATGGAATTGTTTGAAAAATGAATGTAAATTTTATACATATATTTATGTGTGTATTTGTTTGTTTGTTGAGAAACGTCAAACCATAAAGACAACCAGTCTCTGAACGTGTTTCCAGAAGAAGGAAACAATTTTCTGGCTAGCTTGGTGTCTTTCAGACCAAGTAAGATGTTAATTGTTTGGCTAGACTTTGATGGGGTATCTGGATACTACTAGGATAAATTCAAAAAATACTAGGTAGTTAAATTCAGGCGAAAACTCTGAACAGGTGGTTACAGGCAGCTGTGCTGCTCAGGCATGCAGCAACAGTACTGTGGTAATAAATGAACACCTGCACTCTGTGCAACCCAGCTTTTATCCAATGAGCAAAGGGATTCCACAAAAACAGAATCTCTCCCTGACATATTCAACTTCCACATAAAAGCACTCAGTCGTTGTCAGCAGCTTGCCTCCTTCTTAGGCTTAGTCACTGCAGGACCTGATTCTGCAATGTGCAGAGCAAGTCTTTAATGGCACCAGGAAGTCTTATTTCATGACCTGTGAGCCAACAGCTAAAACACTGCTGATGAATGTGATGATGAACAGGGTCTTTTGCTTTCTGCTTCTATGCAGAGCAGGTGAGGGTTCTCACTGCGTGCCTGGGGCGCTCAGCATCCCTGGAGATCAGACCCACCATGAGAAAACAGCCTACTGGGTCCTGCCTGCTGCCTTTGACAGGGTTGTGAGTAATCACTTGCCTTGCATAAGAGAGCAAGGCACCAGCCCACTGGGAACCTAGTTTTGTACAGTTCTGCAAATATATCTATAAGAAGAAATCAAGTTTTTCAATTTTGTCTAGGATTAGAGGTTCTCTATCAAAAGTTACATGGGCATTTTCAAGAAAAGACAGCAAACTCTAATGACAAATGGAATAGTAAATATATAATTTGATATACAGACATGCAGATCTGAGTCATGTGCTTTATTCAATTTTTAGTGTAAAAACAAGAGAATGCTTGTATTCAAGCAAAGTTTAATGGGAGTGAAAACTTCTCACAATATAGAAAGAGGTATAAAAAATGTATTTAAAATTTGATATTTACAGGCAATGTCATCCCTTCATTCATTCAGCTAAATTTCACAATAAAATACAACTTTAAGCAATATTTTTAGGTTACTATACCATAATCCTCTAGATTTCTTACTGAAAGTGTGAGAATTTGAAATTAGAGAAATAAATTAGTACTGCTTCTGAAATCACTTATTTTTCCGTTTTGTTCTCTGATAGTTTAAAAGAGAATGAAATGGAAATTGATGAATTTGGCCATAAAAATTATTATTTTAAAAATTTTAAATGAAAGGGGTTTAGTTTTTTTTGTTTGTTGTGGGGGTTAGATATTAAGGTTTGATTTTTCATTGGTTTTGTTGCTTTGGGGGTTTCATGGTTCTGTTTGTTTGAGATATTTTTTAATAAAGTGACCTTTTTATAATTTTGCCAGTAGAAATCGAATGCATATTTGATCACAGACATGATGACAGCATTTTCAATTTTTTTTAATGCAGATATCATGCCCATATCAGAGAGCACCTAGGACTTAATTTTCATTCAGCTCGTATGGACACTAGAACTTGTGATACCAGTGCTGATCTTAGAACAAGCAGGAATAATCACTTTGCTTTTCAGAGGCAGCTTCTAGTCTGAATTTGGCTTCAGGATACCACATCTTGAGGTGTGATTCCGAGGTGTGACCAGAGATGAAAGCTTCTTTCTGTTCTTGCTACATTAAAAAACCTTCTGGTCAGAGTCCCACTTCTCTCCCCAGTGCTCTCTTTCAAACAATGCATGAAGTTGTAGGGGAGCTCAATTTGGGGGATAAATATCTAGGGGCATAAACGTCTTGTGAACCACATATTGCTTAGTCCTAAAGTGGCAGGGTGTATAAAGCATTTAATGGAAAACAGTAATCTGGACATTTAGAGAAGTTTCCTAAAATATATATTCTGGAATAGCATTTATCATACTGCTACAGTGTAGTTTATCTTCTTTTAAGAGACAATGTGATATGCAGATCAATAAAAGGCAATTTTGTGTTGCTTTGTTTAAATTTCTGTTGTCATAAGTAGCATTGTTACAGTCATACAAGCTGATCGCTGCGAAGTCTTTACAAGACAATTTGAAATTTTAATCAGTGTGCACTTTGTCCTCCTGAGTGCAAAACGATAGCTGGTCCTTTTGTACTGGAACTGAATAAGCAAGAGGTGAGTGTGCTCAGAGTGTGTTCCTCTGGACTGTATTGTATTCTTGATCTGCATTCTGTAGAAAAGTCATACTTTTGCAGAGGCAGTTCCTCCCCCTCTGATCCAAACTCTCTGCAGTCCTGGCTCCAGTAATTATTTATTATATTGTAATTACTGGAGTAACAGCTACTGTGACCCCCTCTCACCATATCTGCTGTTACATACCAGAGTTTGTGGAGTGAACTCCTGCGTTTGGCCAGGGTGGTAGAATCTGACACTACATCATCCATCCAATCTAAGCTGTTATGTTGAGACATTCAGTTATGTTGTCAGTTCTTGCAGCACAAGCTTGGGATTTTGCCATGGGTTAGAGATGGATTCCTGTCAGGCCGTCAAGCACTGCCAACCTGATTTTCATGTGTGTGGGGGGACTAACCTATTTACTTGCAGAGCAAAATCAGCACACAAGACCTTGACTCTCAGCATGTTGTCAGTTAAGTCATGGCACAGGAAACCTGTGAGTCCTGAAAGGTTTCTGTTAATGCCTTGAATATAAATTGTATTAAAACTTATAGAGAAGTTTCCTAATATATAGGCTAGAGGTGTTGTCTTGACACATGACATGGGGCATCAACTGCAAAGCAGCTCATGCTGAGCCCATTTCCACTCTGCAGCCAGTCTGAACATACAATCCCTGCAGGGAGAATTGTCGGTGGGTTTGTTACTTCTCTGGTAACTTTATGTCTCCTTTGTGGACTCCTTTATGTCCATAAACCACAGAGAGAGTGGATTGAGAAGTCACTTCTCATGCACCCTGGCAAACTTTCATAGGTAAGCATTGCCTTTAGTTTAGCAGTCCTATTGGTGCTAGAATTCCAGACCCTCTATTGGTTTTACCAGGCATGGAGATTCAGCTTTCATTAGTTTTTAAATATTTGTGTGTTCTGTGTTCAGAACAGTTGCATGGATTAGCCGTGTTTTGGATACACAGAAATGTTTATGCTGAATGTGTTTATATTTACAAGCTGCACCCTGGATGGGTGTGTGTATGTATGCTATGCATTTGTCTGCAACAGCAGGTAACAAAATGCACAATCATAGCAACATAGTCATTTGAGATCTCCTCAGAGGTGTTTTTCCAACACCATACCCAGCTTTTCTGCTCAAGTCTATTGCTGCAATTTAAAATTCCTTCAGTTCTTTAGGAGAAAAAACTTCTTCCAAGAACAACTCTGTTATGGCTTTTTAAGAACACAGAGTTCTTCCAACAGAGTTAAGATATTCCTTGTCTGTGTTTCAGAATGGCTCCTGTAAATTCCTGGAAATTGAAATCTGAATTTTTCCAGCTTTGCATTCAGCATTCCCCCAGACTGTTAGTAAACATCCTGAACCTTTAGTCAATTCTGAAAGATGCATTTCTAGCATTTTTTCACCCTAAACTGTCCTTTTTACCCCTCAGGGAGTGAAAAATGGGTTAAACACTTTGAAAATACCTCTCTGTACTATGTTCTAGTGAGAGTAGAACAGAAGAGGTCTTCATAAATGCAAAAGAGACTAAAAGGAATCACACAAAGTATTTCATTACTTTGTCAGGTTAACTGTGTTGAATTCTGGTCATAAAACCAGTATGTTTAGTGCACTGTTCCATGTGTGCATTGTATCTTTGGTAGCTACCCAGATGGCTTCTCAAGTAGGGACAGAGTGTTTTCCTGCCTGAAGGTATGATACAAGAACTACAGAAAAGAAAAGATTCCCATGTAGTGG